TTGAACCTGGAATGTGGAGGTTGCAGTGAACTGAGATTGATCCACCGCACTCTAGCCTGGGCAACAGAGCAAGACTCTATCTCAAAAAAAACAGAAAGAAAGAAAAGAAATAAGAAGAAAACGCGATTCACAGACACACGAAGATAAGTCCTCCTCTCTAGGCCCTAAGAGCACCTTGTTTCTAACCTCGTAAAGTTAGGGAGAGGTTTGCTGCTGGGGAGATAGATGGGATTTTTGTGTGACAGCAGCGTTGCTAAGGAACAAACTTCTAGCAACCAGAAATGAGGGAGGGTCCAGAGCTCCCTGGGGATAGACGAGACAAGCCCTTTGCCACCAGGTTTGAGAGGGAGGCCCCTGCGCACCACCTGGCATGTTCCTGGGGGCAGCCCCAGGAGCACCATTGGTGAAGACAGCAGCGCCACTTCCTCTCTCCCTCCAGCTCCTCAACCCCTGCTGGTGCCCAACCGAGCTGGTGGTGAAGGGGGAGCATAAGGAGTTCCTGCTGCCCCCGGTCCCAAAGAACTGCAATTTTGACAACGGGGCAGGCATGAGTTATGAGGCCAAGCACGTCCGGGAGTGCCTGCGCAAGGGTAAGGATATGGAGGGGTGGCGGGCACCAGGCTGGCAGAGGAAGGTTGGGCTCTTCCCCACCTGCTCTGTCACCCTGCTGCTTAGAACTACATCTCCCAGGAGGTTGCAGTGAGCTGAGATCGCACCACTGCACTCCAGCCTGGGCAACAGAGCAAGACTCTTGCTTCCCCCCCAAAAAAAGAACTACATCTCCCAGGAACCCCTGCAGCATCCATCTGCCTGAACCATGTATATTGTACCACATGGAATTCTGGGAATTGTAGTTACTTGGGTTTCGGGTGCGTGGGTAGGAGGGGTCCCTAACTACCCTATCCCCGCAGGTCTGAAAGAAAGTCCTGTGATTCCCCTGGTAGAAAGTGAGCTCCTGGCTGACATCCTTGAGGAGGTGAGGAGGGCCATTGGAGTCACCTTCCCCCAAGACAAACACTGATGTATCTCTGAATAAATAAAAACGTCGTTCCTATAGAGATCTTACATCTTCATGGTAGTGGTTTGGCAGAAGCTGGAGAACCCAGTATCAAAGGGTCACTAGAAAATAATTTGGGCGGGGCCAGGCATGGCAGCTCACACCTGTAATCCCAGCACTTTGGGAGGCCGAGGAGGGCAGATCACCTGAGGTCAGGAGTTTGAGACCAGCCTGACCAACATGGTGAAACCCCCATCTCTAATAAAAATACAAAAGTAGCCGGGCATAGTGGCGCATGCCTGTAATCCCAGCTACTCAGGAGGCTGAGGTGGGAGAATCACTTGAACCCAGGAGGCGGAGGTTGCAGTGAGCCGAGATCGCACCACTGCACTCCAGCCTGGGCGACAGAGCGAGACTCTGTCTCAAAA